TTTCCTAACATCAAACCTAAACCTCCCCTGGCACAACCTGAGGCCATTTCCTCTTGCCCTATAACTTGTTACTTGGAAGAAGAGACTGACACCCAACTCTCTACAATGTCCTTCAAGTAGTTGTAGAGAGCAATAAGGTCTCTCCTCAGCCTCATTTTCTCCAGGTAAAACAACTGCAATTCCCTCAGCCATTCTTTGTACTGGATAGGGAGGTAAATTTTGCTCTTCCTACAGCTGGAATTCCTAAGGTGGAATGGACCTTTCTCTGTCAATTCTATAATGGTGAGTGTTGGAATAAAATCAAGACTAGCATCCAAAACTCAGACCAGTCCCACCCTTATTCTGAGAAGAAGAAACTGCATAATGTAGAGGTATACAGTAATTAAAAACAAAAAACACTTATCTCTAGTACCTCAGAGTACCCTAGCATTTGCAATTTAGTAATAAACTCAGTATTTTACACTGGAAGCAAGATGCCTCCATAGGATGTGATGGCATATTCAGAAATGCACAGTGTCAGACTAACTCATCCCTTATCAAAGTGAGTGACAGAACTTAGAAAAATCCTACCTATCATGCCCTTTCTAGTCTCACAGGCTCTAAGGAATAGTTATCTGCAATACCACTTTCTTCACACACTCGTTTTTAAGGGAGCAGTTGATAAAAGCCACATGAGAACACAGTATTACCTGCACACTACACTGGAAGTAGTCTCTGGTGCAAGCAGAGGAGAGAAGGTCATTAGAAGATGGTGGTCACTATTTCCTCAAATGCTGTCTCTGCATGGCTATTGTTCCTTTACAGCAACATTTGCAAGGATCATGCTTTGGAAGCATAGCTTCTATGAAGAATATCAGATCACAGGAAACTAAGAAGCTTGAGATTACAAATTCAGCCCTTGCTATACATGAGTACTGGCATATATAACCTTCAACAATTGTCACAAGAACAGAGCAAACACCTTATTATCTTCATTACAGCACTGAAAGCCCCAAATGTTAGTAATTCTGACCAGCTTTGGCAAAAGCTACTTTAACACTCAGGGCAGTGAGGAAGGTAGAGAATTAAAGTCTCAGCCACAGAATATTACTATTTAGACAAGGCTAATTTTATTGCTACAAAATAAAGCTATCATCTCTTAAATGAAGCTAGTTCAGACAGCAATACAGTAACCATTACGCTTACAAATTAGAACTCCTAATCCTTGCAACGTGTTTGACTAAAAAAAAACTAAGTAAAGCACAGACCAGAAAGACAAACAAAGGTTTAGCAGGACCAGCTGTAGGTCTAAAATGGACTTTCCTCAGAAGACAAGTCTTATTCTTTTAATTATTTGAGCCATGCATTTAATTAAAAGAAAAAAAAAAAGAAAATCAGGTGAGGCTCTAAAAAGCTGCACAACATGAGCCTTAGATTACATCTCAAGTTTATACTTTAAGACCTAGCTTACAGCAGTACATGTTAGTGTTGTTGAAATCTGAGATTTCTGTGAACAACTTGTGATGTTAAAACACTACAGATTCCAGTGTCTTATGTCTTTTAATTGCTGACTGGAATGGACTCTTAGGAAGTAAAAGCAGGGGGTTTACATTTTTCATGTTTGCTTCAGGCTACTAGCAGAAAAATTCAGGACTTTTTCTAAGGTATGTCAGTACCAATGATGTGTCACATGTCACTACTTTATAATTAGGCTGATAGCCAAAAAGAATAATGCATCTGACGTTCTACTAATATAAAAACTATCCCCCAAGGTGTAAACACTGACACAAGCATCTTAAAAGGCAGTGTAAAAATGATATAAGGATCTATTTATCAATGCTGGTATCTTTCCATCACAGCTTCAAATAAGTAATTCTAAGGTAGGTATTCATTGAACATTTAATTTTCCTATGCTGATTTAAAAACAAAACAAAAAACACACAAAAAACAAAACCCAAAAAATCATATCTGAAAGCAAAACGCAATGAAACTCTTCTTTGTCTATGAATAAAACCTACTATGAGAAAAAGCAGCTATCTACAGTCTGTATTACTCTAGATAACAATTCGAAAATCCATCTCTCTTTAACCCTTCAAATAAATGACTAATTACAAATCAAATACATCTTAGTAAACAGAAAAGCCGCCTTTTTTGTGAGGAGTTTGCAATTTACTTAACGTGTAATAGTGATTCATGACTTAAGTACTGCATTTGTAAATACCAGAACTTCATTCCATGCAAAATTTGTTCTAAAATGCTCCTGAAAGAATAAGGATTTAGGAAAGCCAGAGCTGCAACTCCATGTAGTTTAGAACATGCTTAGTTCGGATTATATCTGAAAGTTAGACAGACTAGCAGAATTGCCAGATTACAAAATTGTGCTTTATAGCCAAAGTAATCCTCTTCACTCAACAACGCCAAGTTTTAGCTCTTCATTAACACAAGCAGTAAGAATTGTTCCATATATTCCTTGCAGGTCCACATATCAAAATGTGTGCTATTCCAAGGGTTGATGTCGTATAAACTACTGGAAGAAAGCACTTCTGCATCACTGGATTTCCACAGCATTACTCAAAATACAGGACTTCAAATTCAGTTTCCTTCTGAAGCCAGCCAATAGCACATTTGTGGTTTTTTCTAACAACTATTAATACTTTTCCAGGTTAAAAAAAAAAAAAGTCCTTCATGAAGCTGGCAACTCTAGTTCTTTGTTCACTCAGCACAGTGCGTTCATTTCCCAGAGTGACAGACAGAGGAGTATTGTGTTTTGCAAATGTATTACAAGGAATCCTGTGATTTAGTTGTTGCTATTAAAGAATTATATTCAGAGATGATATATTCTGAAATAAAATTATTTCCACCTAACTATCCTCCTCCTGCATTTCAGACACAAAAATTATAACACATTTGATTACAGCAATATCATACCACACAAAAGGCAGATGATTTCACAACTTCTTTAAAAGTTATCTATTATTTTGTTGCCTATTCCTTGAAAACCGCCAAAAGAAGGACTACTTAGTCTGCTCTAACATCTGTGTGCACAATCTTAAATGATCTTATGATTCACCCTGCTACAAAAATAAGTTGACATGTACAAAATTAAATATTGAAGGTAATGCTGTAAAAGGTCAGCGTTCTTCGGAAGTTTAATATTCAGGGCACCACTTGCACTTTAGCAGCAACAAGGGAAGGACTACTGCTACACTGGAAGACACAGACTGATATCATCCCTTTCTCACTGACAACTGCTATGAATTGCTGAGCATATACCTGAGGTTTTGTGCCCTACTCAGCTCCCCATTTTCAAAATTTGTCTGTATCACCAGGATTCTCATCCCTTGCCTTGACAGTTTCATTTCAATCTGGAAGATGCTCAGGGACAATGTTAATTTTCGGCATAAGGTCACTCTAAGTACAACAGGTCACAAGCCTGACCAAGCAAAGTCACCACGGGAGAAGAGAAACAGTTTCTGTGTTCCCCCTCTGGGTACTAAATAAGCCGATCTCAGAGTGGAAGTACACAACAGATGTGCAAATACTCTGTTTAGAAAGATCAAAAACCTGTAAAGAACAGTAAGAGCTTTGGTATATTGCTTTCAATACATGCAGCATGTTTTCACATACAAATTCATGCACACCATTGTATTTTGAAACAAACCTGTGGTGTTAATGGTAAGGTAATCCTGTATTTTTACAGAAGTGCATTCTTACATAGATAAGTAACTAGTTCATAAATACATTCACATATGTAAAAAGAGCCTAATCTTTCAAAACAGCAATACAACCAACTAACAGAAACCAGCAACTTACTTGAAAATAGGAAGATAAAGAATGAATCAGACTTCAATTTAAGACTATTTTTTAATTTCTGGGAAAAGAACACTTACCACCATTACCAATGATACCTCAGTTCACCTCAAAGACTAAACTCAATATATACCAAATACTTTCTACTACAGTGAACTTGCAAAAGGAAAAGTCAATGCCTCTAACAAAGTAAAAATATTGATTTTTCCCACATGATTAAAACCAACCACAAATAGGTTAGAAAGCACTGTGTTCTACAAATAAATAAGTAGTTGCTTAATTATGTATTTCAGTTTGTGACAGCAAATTTGGGTTTTCTCCATTATTTTAATTTATTTTATTCCTTTTTTATGAGCACAATTAAAGCTTTATAAAAATATAAAAGTATAGACATATATCAAAATTCCCAAGAATTTACTGTCACTTAAATAAAAGTACAGTGGCCAAATAAGCCCCACTACTGGAGTTCAATGTCTGGAAATTTGTATATTGATGCTATTAGAACAACTATGTTAGAAATCCTTCCCAGGAAGACTCCCTGGAGTGCATGTGTTTGTTTTAAGTTGTAGCAACTGCAGATAACTAATATCTTTAATCAGATTTTCCCCTCATATGAAATAAGTTAATGGTTCCGATTTCCCTGCACTCTGAAAATCTTTGTCTAGACACAGAAATATGAAATATTGTATTATACAGTTAATATTTAGCTTTAGAATATAGGAATTCATTTTACAAGCACATTTTACAAGTGAACACTTGAATACAGAACATGTTCCAGTCTCTGGAAGATCACTACCATAACACACCATGTGTATCGATGCAGAAAATGAATGAAATACATCACACATAGTTGGTTGAAAACCAACTGCTTCTGAGACACATGTATTTTACCATTTAAAAACAACTGATTCAGCCATTTCTCAAAACAAGAGTCATTTAGTAGTACCTGGGATACAGATCTACTTTGCACATGGCATTTAAACTGTGTTAAGGCAAAACAAATGTCAATAGACACAAAATACTCCTGATTAGTGGCAGGTGATCACTTTCTGAAATCAGACTGCTCCATTCAACAGAGCACAGCAGCAGCATCTACTCATTAAATTGAAGAGAAACAACAAAAATAATGGCCTCACTTGCTAGGCAAAAGAGCCCACGATTTCACCATTTCCTGAAGGCCCTTTCTCAGCTTTTGAAACACAAAGGCTTACCTTTCTGTACACCAACATGTTTGGGGATTCATCAGCCACCCCATTGCTGCTTTGCCCATAATTATTTCCTTGTGCCATGTCCCACAAGTTTGATCCTCTTTTGAATGTCACACTGTAAAAGGTAAAAGTGGTTTCAGTGAAACATCACTTCATGTCTCTTTCCTTCCCTGATGATTAATGGACCTGACTTTCTACCAATATACTATCAGAACAGGCATATGCTTTTACTCCAACAGATATTTACATTAGAGCAAAGCTGCTAATTCACCATTTACTGTCACTACTCTCTTTTGCCTGTAAATAATGAATGCAGTATATTAATCTAATTTAGACACTAATGAATTGTCACTCCGAATGGCTCCCTAACATACCACGAACAACCCCATCATGAAGACGCCTCCTCACGAAGTACTCCTCCCTCCCCTGACCAGGCTTCTTCAAAGGACACCCTGCACCCTCCAGAACACGACAGTTTTGGAAGGGCTGGCTCAGCCCACCACTGCGCACCCGGCAGTGCTCTCTCCTCAGGGCTCGGGCCATAGCAACTTTCACAGCCCTCAAATGCACAAAAAGCAAACCAGATGCTTTAAACTTCTTTTTAATTCTCCAGCACGTGCGTGCTCTCACACATACCCCGGGGGAGGGAAGCAGGTGATGAGGCTCAAGGAAGAAACAAGCCAGAAAATCTTTCCGGTTGCTTTCACCTAGTTTCGTCGTACTTCACTGCAAAACGCCGGCTCCGCCGCCAGCCCCGTCTTCTCCCCGCCCTCCCCCCCCCCCGGTCACACGAGAGCAGCACCAAGCAAGAGCTCAGATCATGCCGTAGCTCCGGCTTTGCACGCAGGTGTAAGAATGCGCTCTATCTACAGACCACACTGGCGGCTGCCGAGAGCACGGAGGGATGAGCTCTACTCCAAACACTTAGCTCCAAAGCCCTCCCCTGCCCCCAGACCTCTCCCGTGCGGGCTCCACTGCACATCGTCCACAGCGCCGGCTCTCCCTGCCCTGCCCCTGCAGTGCCCGTCCGTGGGTGCCTTTCGGCACCAAATGACCGGCAGAACCCGCCGGGAGCCCGGCTCTGCGCCCGTCGCTTCAGCACCGCGGACAGCGGCAGCGCCTCCGGGGAGCGCTGTCGGCGGCGCCCCGGCCTCCCCCCGCCGGCTGCACGGGGCGCGGAGGAGCGGCTCGGTTACCTCCTGGGCCAAGGTCACTGCGCAGTGCCCGCGGCTCCGTGCCTCCTTCGGCTGCTCCTGGCGCGCCCCGCGCGGTCCGTGTCAGCCGGCAGCGGGCGGAGAGACGCGGCGATCGCTCATCACACACACACACACACGCACACGCACTGCGGGCGGAGGCGCCGGTGCCGCCGCCGAGGCTGCGGCTCCCCCTTGCTCTGCCGAAGCAGCGGCAGCTCAGCTCAGCTCCCTCCCCGCAATGGAGTGGCCGTCACGTGGGGGACGGGCACGTCAAAGGTGCTGCTGCCGCTGCTGTTGCTGCCGCTCTGCCACACAGCAGCAGCCCTCCTCCTCCTCCTCCTCCTGCTGCTGCTGCTGCTGAGCTCGGCGCTCTCGGCTTGCTCACCGAAAACAGCGGCCAAGAAACTGCAGCTGCCAGCAGATCTGGCAGCAGCCCCTGTAAATGAGATTAGGCAGCACTGGAGGGCTGGGCAGGAAGAGAATGTGGGCTAATGGGATAGGGGAAAGAAGGGCGGGCAGTTGGTGGTGGAGAGACACCGGGAAGGAAAGTGTGTCGCCGCCTTCTTACACCTTTACTGACAGCAACAGGGAATCTGCCTGTTCCTCTGCCTTATACTGGACACTTGACGTATTTTGTTTTTTTTTTTCTCGGTAAGAATTAAGGAGAGCTTGTGCCGTGTTGGCACTGCAGATCTCTCTGAGCAGCAGAACGGAGAGAGCAGAGAGCGAGTCTGCTCCAGCCGAACAGGAAGGAGCCTTAAGGACATCTCAGGACACGCTCAGGGCTGTTTTGCTATGTCCCTAACTTGTGAAGGCTTCGCACTGGCCAAGATAAAAGAAAAAAGATCAGGTCCCCAAGTCTCCTTCATGACTTATGGACAAGAAGGCTTTGATTTTATGTAAGGGCTGAAATGCCCAGAACTCAACAGCCTCAAGAACACAAAAGATACATAACTGGTTAAACTTTGGAATATTCCCATTTGAAAGTCTTTTTCTGGAATCAGTAGCTCTTAATGGAAGGATGGTCTTGCAGAAGAAGTCATCACCTCTTGTGCACTGTACCTTAAGTGCACTGGTAAATAAGCAATCCAGCACAGTGCTTTCCCCACATACTGCATCATCTCTACTCTTACTTTTTCTACCTTTCTTACATCTCAGAGACTAAAGCAAATCAACACTATCCTGCTAGAAGTTTGCTATTACAACTACAACTACTTCTAACTACTTTTCCAAACTTCTTGGAGGCCTTCAGATATTTTAACAAAGAATGTGTTAAGTTAGCTAAGGCAACATCTGGTAATCACAGTGGCCAGAACAAAATACAGGAGAAAGGACAGGGCTGATCTGGACTCCCTGGAGAGCTGAGGAAAGGAAGACATCAGCTTGAGAGTGGTCCTACAACAAACATCAAAGTATGAAAGATGATCTCAAACACTAATAGGAATGTTCTTCAGACAGAAAAATAGTAAAAAGGTGGAGTGACACAACATACAGTAGGAATCAACAACTCAGTTCAATGAGATAAAGGAAAGGAGCTCCGCAGCAGACACCTGTCTTGACTTTTACAGAGGATAAAATAATTTAGTGTATCACAAGGAAAAGGCAATGTGGAAACAAACTGTGTGAACAAGAAAGAAAGCTGGAGTTTTGAGATGGAAGAGAGATCAACAGAAGTGAAAGAATTCAACAGCACAAGAGGAAAGTGAAGAAATATCAGTGGTAAAAATAGTGGGCAGAAAAAATTATGACGCTAAAAAGCAAACACAGCTAAGACTTGTTCCCATTAAAATCCACTTGACATACAACAGCGTCTTGATGAAGCTAAGCAAGAAAATGTGAATCAAAATGCTAATCTTCCAACAGACATTGTAACTGAGTCCAGTTCTCGTTGAGAAATGGGTACCAGCAATAAAGACCCCAGTCTATAACTTTCTTAGCTTTCACACTGACAACCTAAATGAGCAGCACTGCAGCAGTCAGATCTCACAAAGCTGACTACGCAGGACTGACAGCTGCACTGGCAGTCAAGGGAAATGCCTCCAAATGTTAAGAAGCAACACCCTTGTGGTTATATGGCATCAATATAAACTCAAAATCTTATGTATTGGACTGGTGTACAAACTTCTTTTTGTGACTAAAAGTGGGGACTGCACAAAATACACTCTAAATGCAATTTTACCCCAGAGGAAGGAAAGGAGAAAAATCATTAAAAATATAATACCCAGATTCCTTCCAGTTGTTCTGCCAGCCAACACTTAACATAGTAATTGCATTAAAGGGCAGAAAAATCAAACATTAGCAAGTTTCCAATAAAGTCATACAGTTGTTTTCTTACTCAGCCTCATCTTGTTACTAATCCAAGTGAGAAAAAAAACAAAACAAAAACAAAACAACAACAACAAAAAACCCAAACAAAAAACAAACCAAAAAACAGAGAAAATGAAACTGTTGTATAGCAATTCTTGGATTACATACATGTTGTGTACAAGATGACTCCAATCTACCTATTTACTAGAAGCTATTCAGAAAATAGATTTTTGGCACAGGTTATGTGTCTTTGAAAAACTCCCCAAGAAACCCATCTAATTTAGGCAGCAACATTTCCAAGCTTTTATTTTCGGAGAATCTCTTCAAAATTAAAGGCAGAGGTATCCCCAGCTGAGTTAGATTTTGGCTATACTGCCTCCAGTCTTGCTTTTGCTTTAACCATTCCGATTAATTTCGCAAATGAAGTCAAATACAAAACGCTTTACTACTTAGGTAAGGTTTATGTATTTTCTTTGAAAATAACCAAATTTAATTATCATAAATGAAGTTTTAAAGGAAGTATGTAGACAGACTTGGACCTACTGAAGTCAATACGTGTTTGTCCAGTAACATCAAAAGGAGCTATATTTCACACAGTCTTTAATCTTGTCCTCAGAAACAGAGAAGTAACTCAAATATCCCAGGAATGTGTCTCGTAACTACAGACTTGCTATGCTGAAGCACACCAAGATTTCTTCCACTTCATTAGCATGTCAACTATCAAAATGAAATAGAAGCTCTAAATGCTAAAATGGTTAAACTGAAGAGAAAACCATAAACAGCCCAACAGAATTTCCTTTTTGTCATTACTTTGTGGTGAAAGAGACACTGGGCTTGACTATCTCCATAAATGCAAGTTACAAAGAAAGTAATTTCTTCTAAACATATGTAACTGGATAATCTCATTCTACTACAGTTGAATATGTTTGTTCAATAGCCTATAAAAGGCTTTAATTCATAAATTACTTACACATCTTTCCCATGTTGAGAGTCATCACTTATCTCATACACGAGCAGCATTAGCATCCCCAGAAAGCATAGTCTGCCAGAAGAGGAATGGCCTGCTTCAAAATGCAAGGCAAAACTACTCATTAATAAAACAAAGAAGATGAGAAAGGCTGCCAAGGGGCAGCTTTATCTAACAAGGCAATAAAGCACACATAATTTTGCAAGGTGGTAACTACATTTTCTGTGTGTAGTTTGCACCATCAGTACAACTCAAGTATTCCACTAACATCATGTGCCATGGTACACATAGTACACGGGCATTTTTAACTCAAAATATTATGTCAGAAAGTATATGACAATCTATCTGGATGTGAAAGAGATCAGGAATTCTATTGTCTGTCCTGCTGACCAATGCTGTAGCACTGTGTCAGTACGCTGCCTATATTCATCAATTTATCCCATCTTATGCCTAGACCAAATGTTCCTTGGAGTAAAGACATGCTGTGCAAGCTCTTAGCACAGCATGATCTTGTTCCATGACCAAGTCTTTAAAACATTACTGCATTATAAACAAGCACATTTAAATTTACTGAAAATTCAAACATTCTAGTTACCCAGGCTCTAAATATTAGCATGAGTTAGTACTGTGCTACCTTAAAGTATA